GGGGGGGGCACATTTGGCTCGCGGGCCTTGAGTTTGACACATGTGGTCTAAATGGTTCAGGTCTGCTAAAACCCAAAGGATCTGGGGGTCCTCGACCACCAGCCGGGGGAGGGCCTACGTTCGGAGTGTACCTACCTGGATTATACCTATCTGGGGTTGTCGCTCCTGACTGAGAGTCAGACTCTGCGACAGGATCAGTAAGGCGAGCCCGCCTACTTACCTCCTTGATGGTATCTCTCAGGCCAGGGTCAGCTTTACCGTGAGGTCAGGGGGTTCCCTTCACATTTTTTTCACTCAGCACATTTAAAGTTGTGATAACAATGTTTTTTTTACCTTAAAACAAGTGTCAATAAAATTCATACTGCAGCCCTAACAGTAAGCATTATTATTGTTAAGGAGATATTTACATGGTATTTACTATAGGCTACATGTACAAATGAGAAAAATAATCAGACGAGTTAACCAAAAGGGGGTACTGTAAATACGGTGTTTGCATTTGGACTTCTAAACTGTACAACTGATCTGAAACGAGTATCCGACTTAACCCGAATATTTTATGATATACACTCAAACTTCTGGAATTTTAAGAATTTCTTGTATTTCTCAGAAACGAATTCCCATAAAATACCAAACGCTAATAAAATAGCGCAACATTTTTTCAATCACTAAGAAAATTAGCAGAGATGATTTTCAGGTTACTTCAGTCAAATCGTTGAAAATGTATATGTGTTCATGAAATTTTTGCATTTTATAATTTTTTTCCCATATGTTATTCACTGAATACTGTTGTCATATCTAGTCAATAGACATTATTTTGAGATTTTTAGAAAAAAATGTATGGTGATTTTTTTTTATTTCAGTTTCAAAATCACATTTGATCAGAACTGCTTTTCAGTTCCAGTTAAATATTAWTATTATTATTATCATAAGGATCTGAACAGCGTTGTGTATAGCTTTTTGTGTGTGCTCACCTGTATGACAGCACTGAACCAGCAAGTATTGCCAACATTTTTCAGACCCACTGGGCAGTTATCAGCCCTCTTTTTGTCATGTGGGTTGGGTGAATCATTCCAAACTTCTGTGTGTGTACGCTTTAGACTTGCTTTGTTCTCAGCTATGCTGGCCTCCAAAACCCTAAAATCCAAAAGAAAACAGATACAATTCTTGTTAATTAACTTTTTTGTTTGGCATCTGAAACTTTTATATCCTAATGGACACTCCTAAGCTCACCTGCTGATGGCTTGTTCCTCATCAGTGATGCCCGTTTCTCTGAAAGCCTTGTTGGACTCCTCCAGGCTGAGGGCAATCGCCCTTTGCAGGTCATCTTTATCATCTCCTGTCAGATCAATTACATCTGCATAAAAAAAGCACATGGGCTTAATAACATGATAATCTGATTCTACTGTTTTTATCTGAACAGTTGAACAGTTCACAAATATGACAACAAGATATTTTAAAAATAAATGTAATGAGGCGGTCACGTGACCCCGACCAAGATGGACGCTCGGGATTTTGCTCTGCCCCAGGTTTCCAGTAATTAACAGACCTTCTACTTTTACTGTTTGCATTATTCTGTTAAACTATCCACTGGAGATGCCGAAGTCGCAACGTGATAAAGAATTTCCTATTTTTTCCATTGACGAGCAAGAAAAGACCCACCCAACATACTACTCGTGCTTCGAGCGAAGCCRAGCTAACTGCTACTAGCTCACCGGAGCTACGCTAACTAACCAAGCCACTATGGAGCAGATCTTGGCCGAAATAAAATCTGTTGCCTTCCGGGTTAATGGAATGGTYAATGGAATGAATCTGTTGGCGCTCRTCTGGAAGTTATTGATGGCACCTTGAGTGAAATATAGTTGGCCATTACTTCTGTGGAGGGCTCACTTTCATCTCTATCCAATCGTGTGTCACACACCTGGAAAAACGCACAGAAAAGGCCGAAGACACGATCTCCGCTGCGGAGGACAGTTCGGTGGACCATAGCTCCTAGTCACCATGGAAAAAACAGTGGAGCATCTTCTTCTGAAAGTTGACGATCTAGAAAACCGCAGCCACCGCAAAAATCTGAAAATCATTAATCTCCCAGAGAGGACGGAGGGTGATACCCCCTCGTGAATTTTCCCCAGTCAGTTCTTCCGACTCTTGTGGGTCTCCCTCCGGACATCCCCCCCACTGGAGATCGAGAGGGCTCACCGAGCCTTGGCCCCAGTTCCTGATCCGGGCAAGCCTCCAGGAAGTGCGCTGGTTCGGTTCCTGAGATTCCCCCAGTGAGAGGCTGTGCTCAGAGCTGAAGAAACGTGATGGTCGACATGGTGGCTCCTTTCTGCGTTCCTATCCCGACCTCTCCTCTGAGGTCCTCCGAAAGCAGTGAGAGTTTGACACCTTAGGGWAAGTCTTGGCTTGGCTCAACAAATACAGGGGATTCTCCAACCCAGCTKGCCTCCGGTGGCTGCATGAGGGTCGAATTCACCTTTTTGACACTCCTGAGTCAGCGACTAGATTTTTGGGCTCTCTTAAATGAGGTACATTTCCCGCTTTCCATCACTTGTTCTCTCATGATGTTGTAGTAAGTTGGACTGTTCACCGTCTCTCTGACTGTCGCATCTTTTTGGCGATTGATTTCAGGACAATGAAGATGAGACTCTGTATATATGAGAAATTTCAGTTCGTATTTCCTTCCTAATAACTTAGGATGGTTTTGATGCTTTTTTTTTTTTCATTATCCATAGTATTTTAAGCCAATATGCCTCGGCCACTTAATCTTGTTTCCTGGAATGTCCAGGGTTTAGGCCACATAGTCAAGAGAAAGAAAATTTTGTTTTCATCCATCTCAATTCAGTCCCCTCTGACTTTAAACCCAGACTTGCCAAATCCTATTAGAAGTATTGGTCTATTGAACTGGTCTTCTTCTGGTTTGTTAGCTCTGTCTGACCTGTTGAATTCTGATTCTATTAAATCATTTGTTCAAATCAGAAACGCTCTGTATTTATTCTTTGTGTTTATAACTGATGTAAAATCAATAAATTAAAAGAAAAATTAAAAAAAATAAAAATATGACAACAAATGCAGAGGGGAGTTGCTCACTTGTATCAGCCTGACTGCCAACACTGATATATCTGTCACTGGCCACCTGGGATGTCTGGAAGTAGGTAGTCTCATCTTGCTGAGGAACCTTGGCATTTTTCTCTGTCAGAAAGGCAACAGCGTCAGACAAGTCTCCATTGCTCACCTGTAGCAACAAGAAAAATGAAAAAGATCAACAAAGGCAATGTAAAAAAACAGGAATATTTAAATTTTTTCTTGCTTAAGAGAAAAAAGTACCACAACAATTCTGAAAAAGTTGGGACACTGTATAGAATTCATTAAAAGAATGCAATGATTGTCAAATTATATAAACTCATATTTTATTCATAGTGGAACATAAGAAAYATGTCAGAAGTTGAAACTTAGATATTACACAAATTCTTGGAAAAAATATGATTAATTTGATCTTGATAGTAAGCAAGTAAGTAAAGTTTTATTTATAAAGTGCCTTTCACAGAAATTTATTCACAAGGTGCTGTACAATCAATGTAAAAATGGTGGAAAGATAAAATGAAACACAATAAACAACATAATGAAACATTAAATCAAGAATAAATTCTAAATGTAACTCAGACACACGGCAGAGCATGACCAGTGATGAGTGTTATGTATGCAAGACTGTACAAATCATAGTAAGAAAAATTGTTATGTTACCAAAATGATACAATGGGTATCAAGTAGGGCTGCCACAATTAATCGATGACTAATCGATTATTAAAATAATCGATGACTAATTTAATAATCGATTAG